GAGAGAGAGAGAGAGAGAGGGAGAGAGAGAGAGAGACAGACAGACAGACAGACAGACAGACAGACAGACAGACAGTTGTAGGGAAAACAAGAGCGTGGGGGTGTTGATTTTTCTTTAGAAGGATATTGGACTATATTTCAATACCCTGAAGCTGCAAATTGGAGGCTCAATTGTGATCAGGACTGTTGAAATGTTGGCTGACTTGCGTGCACGAGTTTTTCTGTACTGAATACCTATGGTTATTAAACCTAGATCTAGCTCTAAGTGTGATGGTAGTTTGACCTACACAATGAGCTGGACAGACTTTAAATGATATGAGGTAGATTAGGTTTGTGGTTTCGCAGGTGATGCTGTGAGAAAGTGTTTTTTTTCAAGTGGGGGCCTTCTACAAAGTTGGTCACTTTCATGTAAGCACGTGTTTTGCATCTACGTTTTTGACAAGGATCATTTTGATGCGGGGAACATGGGTTTATCGGAGGTGAAGATGTGGATATTACTGCTCTAGTGCGAATGAGGAGGTTGCCAAGATTGGGAGGCTGTCGAAGAGCAATCAGAGGGAGATCGGGGAAACAGGCTTTCATTTTGTCTGATTTTTCCAAGATTGTTTTGTGTTGGCTGTTGATTTTATGTACATTAGGTAGTTTTTGGTGATGAGTTGTGGCGAAAAAAAAAAATTCTGTTTGGGCTTTAGGGGTTTGTAGGTCAGAAGGTTTATGCGATTCAATTTACTGACTTTCTCGATAATGGGCGTTATAAAATTTTTGCGGTACCCACTGTGAAAAAGGTTAGCTGCGAATTCCTTTATCCGTTGTTTAAAAGAATTTTCATGGGAACAAATGCAGCGGAGTGTAAGTGCAACGCTATAGACCACAGAACGAAATATATGTTTGGGATGGTTTGATGAAGGTGGGAGGTAATTATTGGAGTTGGTATGATTTTTTTATACAGGTCTGTCTCAATTTGGTTATCTGCAATGAGAAAGGACATGTCCCGAAAAGAAGTGGGGGACTTACCTGGGCTGGAATAAGTATATTTGATGTTGTGGTGCGCCTTGTTCAGATCAGTGACAATTTTTTGGCTGTTTCAGAGCTACCATTGTGCAGAGCGATAATTTCATCCATGAAACGCTTACGAACAAATGATTGGTTGGGAAGAGGAGAGCGTATTTGCTCCAAAATTCCGCAATAAAAATGTTGACATAAGAAGCGGCCATTGGGGTACCCATCGCTGTGCCGGTCAGTTGGAGAAAATTTTGACTTTTGAATGAAAATTATGGAGGGTGAGGACTAGTTTCAACAGTTTGCAAATTTCTAAAGTTTGACGTGTGTTGTAGGGTGCAAGGCTTCTGAGGGCTGAGCGGCAGGCCTCGATATCTTCTTGGTGTGGTATGTTGTTGTTCATGTTTACTACGTATATTATGGCCAGAAAGTTAGTTTCAGGAGGGAAAATGTTTTCAGAATGTTTTGTTTCTGTTTTTGGAGAACATGGAGGTTATCTTTCGCCCGGTGGGTAGCACAGAAGTCAGGGACAAGAAGTTTGAGGATGCTGTCAAGCCAATAAGAAGCTTTGATGGTAGGACCATTAATTTGGGATATGATGCTTCAAAGTTGGGTTGGGGGGCAGTTTGAATTGTTGTTTTCTAACTTGTGGATTTTTTGGTAGGCCACAAAAGTTGGGGCACGACAACTCCCCGTGAAGAATACACTTGGGCAAATCCGGGGATATTACGTTGACATATTCGAGATGGCGGATCTGGTCCGGAATGGCGCTAAGATGAGAGGAAGTGGGGTCAGAGCTGAGGGGTTTATAGAGAGAAAGGTTTCACAACATGGTAGATATGACGTTGTTGTAGTCAGTTGTGTCCATGACGACAATGGAGCCACCCTTGTCAGCTTCACGGATTGTTAGATTGCTGTTGTAAATGAGTTCGCAAAAGGCTGACCTATCAGCACGGGATAAATTGTCTGTTTTTGGTGGTTATCTGCAAGTGTCTCATCACCAATATCATCACTCTCATGGCTGCCACTCTTTCTTTGTGTAGAAAACCTTCGCAGCGGTGTGTCCGACCCACCGGATGCGCCATTACCTCCAGATGAATAACAAAACAACATAGTGGTCCAAAATTCGTGTCGCAGCTTACCCTCATTTCTCTTATCCGATGAATCAATGGCACCCATACTTTAAACAGCAGTTTGTATCAATTTGTCTTAAGTTTATCATAATTTTTCAATAACAATTTAAGCTAAACTGAAAAACTGTCCTTCTTAAATTTATACAATATTATAAATCTCCAACGCACGGAAAATGGGATTGTTCATAACACTCCCGCTTCTCACACACATATTATTATTATTATTTAATACGGATAAAGCCTACGCCACTGCTCACCAGTGATATTTTTTGTGGCAAAACTTGTTACAAGATATCAATCTTATCGTGATCTATTTTTGCTCTAAAGGTTCTCAAAACAAGCGTTTAATACGCATAATATCGCGATTAGAAAAAATGACAGACCTATTTTAAAAAGCGATATTGCCCTAGCTGTTTACCTTTCAAAATATATATAAAACTCCCACTGGGATTTTTAATTAGTATTTAAGAAGGAACTTTCTGGAATTAAGCTAACACTAACAGGTGTTTACAAAAATATTGATCTGGTAATACAAGTTGATGCAAGTAATTGTGCAGGAGATGGAGACTTTATGTCCAATGGTTGAGGAAATATAAGATACTTGTATTGTGTTACGAGTCTATACACGAGGGAGACAACGACCCAGCGAAAGTCGATAAAGTATTAATTTATTGCACTGAGAAAACAATTAGGTCTACTTGGTTCAGCTATTTTTATATGTTTTGGAAACATAATATTATTCGTCGGTGTTGCAAACGATCGGCTTATGACTTTTTGGATATTTTCTTGCACCAGAAACAAATAACAAGTTATATTGCTGAGTTGTTCCTATAAGGAATCATGAAAAGCAAGAAAATTATGCGCCATGACCATGCATAGAAATCAATTGCATTTTGGTGATGCTGCAAAGTACACCTTTGCTAGAACTTTAGGAGGGTGTAAAATTGTTCTTTAAATTTAATTTGTTTGGATTGCTTGCGTCATCGACGAATTATCTTTTCTTTGAATTGCGATTAATGTTGAATTTGTGAAGCATAAAAACCTTAAATTTGCTTCTTTTTTTTTTTTAAACAAAGACAAAGAGAAAATATTGCTAAAAACTACTCATGCCAAAACCATTTCCTTTATAACACCATAACAAATTAGTATAATAATACTGATAAAAGTTTGATAACACCGGTGTACTTGTTTATATTTCAGTTTTTTTTAAAACATCGCTGTAGAAAAAATGAGACCACCTAGACCTGTTTGTCTCCGTAAGGACACAGAGAACACCTATGTACTTGTTTGTACATAGAGAACATCTATGTACTTGTTTGTACATAGAGAACACCTATGTACTTGTTTGTACATAGAGAACACCTATGTACTTGTTTGTACATAGAGAACACATATGTACTTGTTTGTACATAGAGAACACATATGTTCTTGTTTGTACATACAGAACACCTATGCACTTGTTTGTACATAGAGACCACCTATGTACTTGTTTGTACATAGAGAACACATATGTTCTTGTTTGTACATACAGAACACCTATGCACTTGTTTGTACATAGAGACCACCTATGTACTTGTTTGTACATAGAGGACACCTATGTACTTGTATAACTGGACTCAATGGAACTCGTCCCCCAAGGCGTCATAACTCTACGTGCAGAAACTTTGATCCTGAACTCACCCACCCCCCCTCCCTTCCTCCGGACTTTTTTGTCATCGAAAAGTTTAAGTTATGACATTAGGTGGGTATCGAAACTGGTAAAAGGTCTATTCATATCTCTGAGCATTGCTGTTTGTCTGAGTAAAGAGAAACACATCGAAACAATAATGGTTATCTAATGCTGGGAAAGATAAGACAAACAGAAATAATTGCGGGAATGTAAACAGGGTGGACTTACCAGTGGCCCCCTCCAACCACCGACCTGAGCACTGTGAATGTGTGTATGTGAGTGTTTTGTTTTTTTTAAATTGATCAACAAAGTCATAGTTACCTCTACTCCCCACAGGTAGGTAGGTAGGAATAGGATGTCGTGCAAAATACAGTATATTATGTTGCATATTAATGATTAAAGTGGGATAAAAATCACTGAGGGCGGAAAATGAAAAAGAGGGTGCGAGGAGATGGAGAAAAAACCAAACCTAAACTAACAGAGAGAGAGAGAGAGAGAGAGAGAGAGAGAGAGAGAGAGAAAGATAAAGAGACGCACACGCACACGCGCAAATACACCCGCACACGCACACGTACACACAGGCACATACACACAAACACACACACACACACACACACACGCTGTGCGTTCTGGGTAGTTGTCGAAGAGCCAGCCAGGGTGTCATGTTCACAATACGCCAAACCCGAATTAAGTGCCCCCCCCCCCCAAAAAAAAAAAAAAAAGGAAACAAGTCGGGTATACAAAGGATTTGTCATTCGTCACCACGAAGAGGAGACACTTTGGTGGCCGGTGGCTGCGCTTAACCAACGTTGCTGGACACCATGGAGACTGTTATTTCAGTTCTACGCTCCGCCTGTCTGCATACAAAGTATGTAGTGTAACTTTTATGGTCATAATGTATATTATGTATATATCTATTATCTATTTGTGGTTGCCGAATTTTGCTATTTAAAAGGCTTTTGAATGGCTGCATCGATCGACATGCGGTTTTCGCCAAAAGATTGTTTAATATATTCTCCAGATCATGACGCCCTTCGTTTTTTTCAGTTTTTAGACAGTTTTGCTGCAAAAAGCAAAATTTCTTTATTTCGCCGATCACTTTTGCAGGCCGACGCTTCTGTCTCTGTAATTTTAGAAAAGGAGGTTACTGTTCACTAACCGTGCGCACTGTTTAAGGAGTATAGATCTAAACCTTCTAATTGTTGCATCTCTCAAGATGTATTGCTCCATTCCAGTAGAATGTAAATGTCATAAGCCAATGACTTTCGGCTGACGTTAATGAACGTTTCATAGAACGGGTCCCCAGCTAGTTATATATATATATATATATGTCTCTTGCCATTTCTATGAGATTGACGCCATCTGATTAGTAGAGAATGGTACGTATGACAGTATCTAATTGTGTAGTACGTAAATAGTTATTCTAAAATATAACTTGTTACAAATAGAAGTTCAAGGAATATAGATGGATATCAAGGATCTAAGAGCAATGGTAATTTTAGATGTGATAGTGGTGTTGAGTGAAAATGTGGTATGGTGTCTATATAATCTAAGCACCAAAAGAGAAAAAAAAATCAAAGTGTTTGAAAGTATCAATTTTCTTGAATTGATCAGAACAGCAGTAGAAATGAGGAAATTCACCTTAAATCAGAAAAATAATAAAACATAGTTGTCACAGACTCGCTCGCTTGTTCTTGGCTCCGAGGTCCTAATTTTGTAAAGAGAAAATAAATTTTGAAAAGCAGAAAAAAAGAAAAGAAAAAGTTTCTTGTTTTTCGACTGTCTGATTCAATCGCCCTCAGTATACAAAACTAAATGGCGTATAATCCGACCTAATATTCACGAACATCGTCGATGGGCCCCAAGGTTGTGTAACACCCCCACCCCCCTTTTCCTGTCTTGTTGACGCTCTACACCGACGACTGTGGTGAAACATCAACCTTATAAAAATTGCGGATGATTCCACTCTACTCTACAAGGCCTCTTAACAACAAATGAGAATGAAAACAAGGACGCTGTAATTGTATTTACAAATTGGTGTAATCACCACTTCCTTTTAAAAAATTTATTTAAAAAAGACAACGTATTCATAATTATGTGTGTGTATATAATGTTTGCCATTGTAAACCAAATTGCCCTTTCGCCAACTCTGCTTTCAAAATAATGATGATGATGATGATGATGATGAAGATGATGATGATGGTAACGATGATGACACTGTAATACTCGAAAAGATGTGCTTGTCAGTCTTAGTGTTGAGTATATTTTACGTTTTGTTTGGCGCTTATTCTCGATTTCCCCCCCCCCTACCCAGCCTAAGGTAGCGAACTGTTTTAAAATCATTTCTAGTCCTACGTGACATAACCAGGTTCACATCCTGCTAAATACGTCTCCTACAAATTTCACTGTTTCAGTTTGTAAATCTACTGGCCTTGATTTCAGCAGGATTAATCATCCTGTCATTTCTAGTTTTAAATTTTGAATTCATCATCCAGTGCCAGATCTGTGACAGACATCGGCGATCATGGTTTTCCATTCATTCCTTTGCTCGGATGCTCTCAACAAAGCTACGTTTCCCTGATCTTTCCCTGTTACCCATTTGTTTAGGTTCCTTAAGTTTGTTGTTCTGGGTCTACCCCTGCCTCGCTCCCCCTCAATTTTTCCAGTGAGAGCTAGATGTTCAAGACCCTTATGTCTACTCAGGTCTCCCAAAAACTGCATAATTTGTTGTTTCCTGATTGTTTTTAACATTGAGCATCCCACGTGAGTTTCATCAAGCACTACCTCATTTAATTTCTTTTCCTTCCACGATACTCTTAGCAGTCTCCTAAGAAACCACATTTAGGTGTTTTTTTAGTTTGTTTTTTTTACAATTGACGTTTGGTCCGTTTCTAATGCAGACTTGTTGAACACTACATGTATTGTTTTTGTGACCTAATGGGGCTCGCCACTCTATTTTGTAAAACCGTATTTGTGACTACACGGTGGAATTAGGCGCTCGTCAATTTTGGGTCTTTTGGGGTTATTGGTATCATCTGAAAGCTGTTTCATTTGCCTTGCTTCCAATGAAATAAATATCCATCTATCTTGAATAAAAGTCAAAACTTTCAAAACCAAAGGAAGAGAGGTCGTCTGGTTTCAGTGGTGAAATTAACGAGAAAATGGCAGCACAGTTTGGTAACTCCAATAGCTAAAGAGTTGTTGAAAACGTAAAAATGAAATACTTTGTTTCTTTAATCAATGGGGGGGGGTTCCTGTAAAATTCGTATGGAAATGTGATTTATGAAAGGGGTGGAGCACAAAAAAAATTCGAAAATAAAAAACTTGCGGGAAAATGCCTTTTTCTCAGATTTCGCTATTTTGACGAGCGCCTGATTTGACCAGGCTGTCTCACGACTATGCCCAGTAGTAGCGTTTGCGGTAATCACACAAACTTGGAAGTGACAAGTTATTGCCGCAAAGGCTGATTTAAACAAACATGAATTTTAAACTTTAATAATGATTACAATTATTTGTATCTTGTTCAGTAACATTGAACTCTTTTTCATTCAATATTGAGAATAATATAGATTGATCTTGATCATAGAGGGCCGAAAAAGTATTTACATGTAGAGTTTTGCATGACTTTGAAATAGGAATTCAGAACTGTTAGAGGACACTGGAAACCTGCTAGCAGTGCGTTTGTTTGTTGAGGTTTATGTACTGAAACCTGAGCGTTGACGACACCGACACGGTTGGGGGGGGGGGTATTTTTGTTGCGGCACGGAATTTGTTGAAATAAATAGTGGTGATTGGACTTCTGCAATGAAACTTAGGCGCCCGACCTCCATGACACACCGGGAAGTGCAGATTTTTACATCTCGTCTTTTTTCTCTGTTCTTGTTCGTTCACCAACACGTTTGTCTGTTTGTAGATCTACTCCCATCTTCTTCTTGTTCTTCTTCTTGTTCATCTTCTTCTTGTTCTTCTTCTTCTTGTTCTTCTTCTTCTTGTTCTTTTTCTTCTTCTTCTTCTTCTTCTTCTTCTTCTTCTTCTTCTTCTTCTTCTTCTTCTATATTTGAGCAGAGATATGAAGAAACTGTTCATGAACCTGTCTTACAAGTCTGCGTTGTTGAGGCAGAGAAAAGGCAAACTTATCTATTATCTATTTGTGGTGGCCGAATTTTGCTATTCAAAAGGCTTTTTAATGGCTGCATCGATCGACATGCGGTTTTCGCAAAAAGATTCTTTAAAATATTCTACAGATCATGTCGCCGTTCGCTTTTTCAGTTTTGAGACAGTCTTACTGCAAAAAGCTAAACTTCTTTATTTCGCTGACCGCTTTTGTAGGCCGATGCTTCCGTCTTTGTAATATAGAAAATCCGGTGCGGAAATGATGTTTTGCGAGACGCATTTTGTTTTGAGAGTATAGATCTAGATCTAGACCTTCTAATATGTTTGCATCTCATTCCAGTAGAGTGTAAATATAGTAGGCCAAAGACTTTCAGCTAATGTTAATGCACCGATGATTCCTTTCATCGAAAGGGGCCCCATCATCATCATCATCATCATCACCATCATTGTAAACAGGAAGGAATAAAAAAAAAGGGTTGAGACTTGTAGGATTTCCAGAAAAGTTCATAAAAGTTCAAAATTTCGCCTTATCAAGGGCTTCATCAGGAACACACAGAAAAATGTTAGATCTAGAAGAATCATCATCATCATCATCATCATCATCATCATCATCATCATCATCATCATCATCATCATCATCATCATCATCATCATAATGAGAACGTTTCAATGTCCTATAATAACGACGTTCTATCTGCTCAGTCCCTTGTTTTGAGAAATTTGATGTAAAAAAAAATTCTGATTTCACAACATCGTTAAGCGTTTTGGAATGCAGACTCCGAAAAATATTTTGAGCTTGATAGAGTAGCCGGTAGAACATTTATTGGTTTCTGACCTCATGGTCTTAGTCTTAGTAACTCAAAGCGGCAAAAAGTGTCGGACAGATCTTTGTAATTTCCAGGTAGCGCCTACATTTGCTCATGAAGTGGAACAGGGTACAAATGCGCAAAACTTGCCACCCCTTACAGTTTTTTTTACATTCATGCGCCCTTCCTAGATCGGTATGAAGTGTGATAGGTTTTTTATGAATTCGTCGTAGAAATCTTTCACAAATAAGCTCTGACAGCCAATGTTATCACGTAATGGCCGTTATTACTAAGATGACTTATGTCAAAAAACATCTTCAAAATACATTTTAGGGTAAAATAAAAAACAAAGCCTTAAATTATTGGTAGATAAAAGGCTAAAAATATGTTTTAAATTGGACTAAATTTTAATTACCCTGAGTCTCAATTCGAGGGATAATGTGTTCTACGGTTCCTTTCACCATACATGTATTAATTGTGTGTGCGCGTTTGTGTGTGTGTGAGTGCCTGCGTGCGTGCGTGTATGTGTGTGTGTGAGCGCACTCACGAGCCAGTGTAAATCACCTTGCGCTAAATGACCGAAATTGTGTCAATATTCTCTTGACCTAAACAATGACACTGCCCATCACTGCTTTTTTTCACCCTGAATCAGGATATATGTCCCTAACAAACACTTTCTACCTTTCCCTATCCGTGCTCATATGACCTTATGCAGTTGCGAGTGCTGTAAAACCTTACTAAAACTAAAACTTTCCATATCCTGGGCTAGCCTCTTGGTGTTATTGCATGTCTTCCCACTTTTCTATACATCAACTTCTGTGACTCTTCTCCATATTCCACGTGCTCTTCCCCTTGATCTTTTACCCTGTAGGTTCAAATGGCCTTGAAATATGACTAAATTTACTAAGCTTAAATTATGATGACACATGGGGACGTTAAACACATTTCCACCCCCGGGGCAGTGCCACTGACTGTAGTGTCTTTAGGCCATTCCCAAAAGGGGGACATTTCTCGTTCAAGCACAGTGGAATTGTAAATGGGTTGATTCATGTCACGCTCATAACTGTGCCTGATCTACAACAGGGAACTGCTGCTTTTTCTTTCCTAATCCTTACTATTGTCATTTTCCTCTACCTCTTTTGTACGTTGGTCACTCTCTTGTGACCTGCTATTTCTGGGGTGCCTTGATAGTCGAAGCAGACCTTGTGCTGTTGAAGCTAGAAAGGTGAGCAGAGTAAGTCCGATTCCCTGTAAATACTTCTCTGTTGGCATCCACCCTTTGGCGCTCATATGACCTTATGCAGTTGCGAGCACTGTAAAACCCTCTACTATTTAAAAAAAAACTTTTCATCTACAGTGGACCACCACGGCAGTAGCCAACAGCCAGAGAAAGTCGATTTTGGTGTCCAAAACCTATTTTTTCTATTATGGGCTATTTTAGAAAGGCAAGACGGCAAGGACTCCTCCCACTAGTCCATAGTCTGTGCAGACTGCTCCTCTATTCACTTTGAGAACTGGTGGAAAATCGCCCAAGTTGAGACTATATCTCCACAAAATTGCGCCGGTAGACTACCCAGATCCGTCCTGTCGAGCCTGCAATGCTGCCGTACCAAGGCAGACCGACGTATCTGCAAAAATTATTAGTTTTTTGAATCTTCGTTTCAATGGACGCCTATACCCATTCTGCATCTTGTGTCAAAGGGCCATGCCCATATTTCCAATAGCAGCGCGACGTAACTCAAAATCATAAAAAGTGCAGATACGTCGCTCTGCCTCGGCACGGCAGTATGGACCATGTGTTCCTGAAATGTCCCGTTAACTATCGTGCCAGAACACGTCTGCTGGGACATTTCATTGACCCACGCTCAGCACTTTTCAAGGACCACGGAGCAAGTGTTGAGTTCCTGCGTGCTGTCTTACAAGATCTTTTAAATTGGTGCACTTTGTATTTGTAGGTGGTTTTTGTAAAATCCATTTCCATCTTCGACAATAAATTTCTTCTTTGTATATGTTTATGTCAAACAAATTCCCTTTGAATGAATTAATATCTGTTCCAAATTACAATATTCTAGATCTAGTACAAATTTTGAGCGAGATATTCAGAAAAAAAGTTGTATTTTGGGGGGGGGGGGGGGGGAACCCTGTACTTGAGTCCAAACAAAAATTTTCACTTAAACCAAAATTTGCCGTACCGCCGGATTTTCATTACTTTACCTATTTTTTCTTCTTTTTTTTTTTTGTTTAGGGGGGGGGGGGGCAGGCAGTTAAGGGAGATTGCTCGTGTTATTATAGCGAAGAAAAGACATCTGGAGTTCTAGTTTCACTGGGATAATAGCTCGCTGTTTTTCATAATTAACCTATTTAGTTTAAGCGTACTTTACTGTATTACAACTTGTTTCTGTTTCTCTCCCCCTACTCACCAGAACATTTCAGGCGGTCGTCGTAGTCACCAGCGCCGTCTCCATTCTGACTTTGCTTGGACTGGTCACCGTGACGGACAGATGGCCACTCACCTCCTCCATGCATCACGTCACCAGTACCTTCTCACCTCTTACTGACTTCCCCCCTGAAACAACGACATACCATGATCAGAAATCAACACACAAAAGGGATGACCAAAACTCTACGCAGAATGACTTCCTCCTCGACAAAAACAAGCCCGTCTGTTGGGAATCCCCGTACGTGGATTGCGGGGGAAACCAGAAAGGGGAACTACAAGATGAGGAAATCCCGAAAATGTACTCTATAAATAGAAGTTACACGGAAAGATTTGGAGGTTTTCAAATATTGAAATTGGATTCAAACTTCTACAAATCGGTTACTGGATTATTTTCGTTCCCTCTGAACGATGCGAACAAAGCTTCCTCTTCTACTTCTACTACAAGGCCTACTACTACTACTACTACTACTACTACTACTACTACTACTACTACTACTACTACTACTACTCGGAATGTTGGTGAAAATAAAAGATTCAGAATCGGTTTACTAAACAAAAGAAGCTATATGAACCATTTCGACTTTTCCTCCTGCCCGTTCCACAATTGTGAGTACGTTGGAGACAAAATAGACGAGACGGTGGACTTGGTTGTGGTGAATGGGATCAATTTGAATACCAGCACTTTGCCGAAGCGATGGAAGAATCAGATCTACGCCATGTGTGGGTGGGAGTCCCCCGTCAATTTCCACAACCTGATTACTAGTAAGAAAAATCTCGTCAGGTTTTGTTGGGTTTTTTAAATTGTTTTTTTTTTCTTCTTTGTGGCCTTTTTATTATTATGTTGTGTGTGTGTGTGTGTGTGTGTGTGTGTGTGTGTGTGT